CATTCGGGGCCGCCGTCTTGGGGCGTCTTGGGGGGCCCTGGCCGTCACCTCTTGGGGGCCTCCTGGGGCTCTCTTGAAGGCCTCTTGGTGCCATCCCGAAGCTCTCTTGGGAGCATCTTGGGCCGTTTGGAGCCCTCTTGCGTCTTGGTTGGGGCTCCCTTGGGCCGTCTTGGGGCCCTCTTGGGGCGATCTTTGGGGCCTCTCGGGCCGTCTTGGGCCGTCGGAAGCCCGAAAAGGCGTGCGCCCTCACCACCTTTGAAACGCAAGAAACAAGTATACGTCTGGCCTCCTCAGGCCCTCTTGTGGGTCGTCTTGCAGGCCTCCTGGGTCGTCTCTGGGCCCTCTTGGATTATCTTGAGGCCATCTCGGAACACTCTTGGGCGGTCTGGGGCTCTCTTGTGGCGTTGTTCGGCCGTCACGGAGCCGTCTTGGACCTCTCTTAGGCCGTCTTGGGGGTATCTTGGGCCGTCTTCGGTGTATCTTATGCCGCTCTGGACACCCTCTGGTTGCCTTCTTGGTCGTCCTGGGTGCCCTCTTGGGTCGTTGTGGCCATTACGTCTGATGCCCATCCGGGGGGGTCTCCCTGTAAAGTCGCTACATTATGAAAGCTCGGGGAGTACTATCAAACACATATATAACAAGAAGAAACATGACGATGACGATGGTGGTGATGATGCTGCCGATGACGATGGCGATGATAATGCTAATGCTGCTGCTCACGACGACACACATGTTGAATCTGATGGTGTTGATGCTGCTGCTGCTGCTGATGATGATGATGATGATGAGGATGAAGGTGATGTTGATGGTAGTGGTGATGCTGATATTGACGATGACGACGACGACGACAATGCTGACGACGTTGATGATGATACTGCTGACGAGGATGATGCTAATGCTGATGATGCTGCTGCTGATGATGATGCTGATGATGATGATGATGATGATGATGATGATAATGGTGATGATGATGATGCTGATGATGATGCTGCTGATGATGATGATAAGGGCGACGACGATTAAGACGTCGACGATTACGATTACGATTATAGTGATCATGTTGACGCTGATTTTGATGACGATGCTGATCCTGATGATTATGATTCTGGCGATGCTGAGCTTGATAGCGATGATGACGATGATGATAATGTTGATGACGATGCCGACGATGATGCTGATGATGAAGCTGACGATGATGCCGAGGACGAGGATGATGATCATTATGCTGACCAGTGTGATCATGTTCATGATGCTGGTGGTACTTCTGACGATCATGATGTCTGATGATGGCGGTGATAGTAATGGCAATGATGCCGATGCTGATGCTGATGCTGCTGCTGATGATGATGATGCTGATGATGCTGATGAGGTTCGTGGTTATGAAGCTGGCGTTCCTGGTGAATTGTTGCTGTTGCTGTTGTTAGTGCAGATGTTGTTGCTGCTGCTGTTGTTGCTGTTGTTGCCGTTGTTGTTGTGGTTGTTGTTGTTGTTGTTGTTGTTGTTGTTGTGGTTGTTGTGGTTGTTGTTGTTGTGGTTGTGGTTGTGGTTGTGGTTGTTGTTGTTGTTGTTGTTGTTGTTGTTGTTGTTGTTGCTGCTGTTGTTGTTGTTGTTGTTGTTGTGGTTTTTGTCGTTTTGTTGTTGTTGTTCTTGTTGAACTCTCGCTACGGAAATAATTATTGTTGATTCCCTCCTCCTGTGCACATTGTATTTTCAATTGAAGTGCCCCTCCCGGCGCTCGCATCCTGTTTTTTTTACCAGGGGGAGTCTTCCTCCTCAAACTGCCCCTGGCCCCCGGGTTACAACAACAACGGCTCCCGCCTGAGACTTCTTCACAGTTTAGCCAGGACCCCCGCTTCCGCCTGAGACTTCCTCGCATTTTATTCAGGAATCGCGCTTCGCTTGGGACTTCTTACAACTAATTCAGGAATCGCTCTCACGGCGCTCTGGAGTCTCGCTCTCGCTGGAGACTTGCTTGCAATTTACTCGAGAATGTCCGTTGCGTTGGAATTTCCCGCAATTTACTCAAGCGCCGCGCCCCCGACATTCAGGCAACCAGCATTCGCGCTCACGCTTGGGAGTCCCTCACAGATTATTTAGGGATCGGGATCTCGCTGCCCTTCGTGGCCCCGTTGCAGCCCTTCGTGGACCCCTCGCTTCCCTTCGTGAACCCGTTGCAGCCCTTCGTGGCCCCCCTCGCTGCCCGTCGTGGCCCTGTTGCAGCCGGTCGTGGCCCCCTCGCTGCCCTTCTTGGCGTGGCCCCGTTGCAGCCCTTCGTGGCCCCCTCGCTGCCCGTCGTGGCCCCGTTGCAGCCGGTCGTGGCCCCCTCGCTGCCCTTCGTGGCCCCGTTGCAGCCGGTCGTGGCCCCCTCGCTGCCCTTCGTGGCGTGGCCCCGTTGCAGCCCTTCGTGGCCCCCTCGCTGCGATTCGTGGCCCCGTTGCAGCCGGTCGTGGCCCCCTCGCTGCCCTTCGTGGCCCCATATATGTGTGCCCTTCGTGGCCCCCGCTCGTTCGCGCCCGTCGTGGCCCCATATGCATGCCCTTCGTGGCCCCGCTGTCGCCCTTCGTGGCCCCCTCGCTGCCCTTCGTGGCCCCGTTGCTGCCCTCAGTGGCCCCTTCCTTGCCCTCCGCGGCCCAATATAGTTACGTATGTCCTTTGTGGCTCCCGCTCGTTCGCGCCCGTCGTGGCCCCATGTGCATGCCCTTCGTGGCCCCGCTGCCGCCCCTTGTGGCCCCCTCGCTGTCCTACGTGGCCCATTTGCTACCCTCACTGGCCCCGTCGTTGCCTTCTGTGGCCCCGCATTATCTGCCCTTAGTGGCCCCCGCTCGTTCGTGCCCTTCGTGGCCCCGTACGCCTTCTCTTCGTGTCCCCGCTTTCGCCCTTCGTGGCCTACTTCGTGTCCTTCGTGGCCCTTCTGTCGTTCTCTCTCTCGCTCTCGCTTTCGCTCGTCGTCGTCGTCGTCGTCGGCTTCGTCGTCGTCGTCGTCGTCGTCGTCGGGGTCGGTCCACTGTCCGTCCCGCTTGGAGTCGGGTTGCCGCCGATCAGCGCTGCCGCTGGCCAGGCCGACGGTCCGCGGCCGCCCCGCCGCTTGCTGGGGCCCGGCCTGCAGGGAAGAAAGGTATACCTCACAAAAGGGGTACGATCGAAGACGAAGAGGGTGGGTATCGAGGGTTTGGGAAATACGCGTTAACGGACACTCGAGCAGATAAGAGCGAACAGTCTTATAATGATTGCTGGTGTTGTTGTTGTCGTCGTCGTCGTCGTTGTCGTTGCACATGTTGTTGTTGTTGCTGTTGTTGTTATTGACGGTGGTGGCGATGCTGCTGCTGATGCTGATGCTGATGATGCTGGTGCTGTTGCTGATGATGCTGCTGATGATACGCTGCTGCTGCTGATGATGACGACGACGATAATCACGATGTTGTCGATGACGATGACGATGCTCTTGATGATGCTGATGGTGCGATTGCTGATGCGGGTGATGATTATGATGCTTGTGCTGCTGATGATGGTAATGTTGGTAGGGATTACTACGATGCTCATGATGATGCTGATCGTGATGATGCTGCGGATGATGCTGATGATGCTGATGATGATGCTGATGCTGTTGCTGCTGATGATGATGCTGCTGTAGATGATGGTGGTGATGATGCTGGTGATACTGACGATGATGATCATGATGATGATGATGATGATGATGATGATGATGATGATGCTGATGATGGTAAGGATGAGGACGGTTATGGCTATGCTGGTGATGTTGGTGATTGTGATGACTATACTACTGGTGATGAAGATGATGCTGATGCTGCTGCTGCTGCTGATGCTGATGATGATGATGATGATACTTCTGGCTGTGATGCTGCTGCTGATGATGCTGATGGTGATGCTGATGATGACGATGATGCCACTGATGATGCTGATGATGATGGTGAGGATGGTGATGAACTGATGCTGGTGATGATGCTGATGATGCTGATGATGCGGTTGATGATGAGTGATGATGAGGAGGGGGATGCTGATGATGCTGCTGATGATGATGGTGGTAATGATGATTCTGATGATGGTGATGATTAGGAAGGGGACGAGGATGAGGATGATGACGAGGATGCTGGTGATGGTGATGCTGATGATGCTGATGCTGATGATGATGGTAATGGTGATGGCGATGATGATGCTGATGCTGATGCTGATGCTGATTATGATGATGATGATGATGATGATGATGATGATGATGATGATGATGATGCTGATGATGATGATGATGCTGATGATGATGATGATGATGATGATGGTGGCGGTGATGCTGATGATGATGACCATGATGATGATGATGATGATGCTGATGATGATGATGATGATGATGATTATTATGATGAGGATGACCATGATGATGCTGATGCTGATGCTGATGATGATGATGATGCTGATGATGATGATGATGATGATGATGATGATGATGATGATGATGATGATGATGATGATGATGATGATGATGCTGATGATGATGATGATGATGATGATGATGATGATGATGATGATGATGATGATGATGATGATGATGATGATGCTGATGATGATGTGATGATGATGATGATGAGAGGAGGAGGAGGAGGAGGAGGAGGATGAGGAGGGAGGAGGAGGCGGAGGAGGAGGTGGAGGAGGTGAGGAGGAGGAGGTGGGAGGAGAAGAGGAGGAGAGGAGAGAGAGGAGGAGGAGAGGAGGAGGAGGAGAGGAGGAGGAGGAGGAGGGACGAGGAGGAGGTTGGAGGAGGAGGAGGAGGAGGAGTAGGTAGGAGGAGGAGGAGGAGGGAGGAGGAGAGGAGAGGGAATAGGAGGAGGATGGAGGATTGAATGAAGAGGAGAGGAGGGAGGAGGAGGAGGAGGAGGAGGAGGAGGAGGAGGAGGAGGAGGAGGACGAGAAAAAGGATACGCACGCGACGAGCAGGGGGGCAGGAAAGAGGAGAACCCTCGCCGGACGGCACGGTGGCCACTTCCTGCGAGGCACGCCGAATCCACGTCCAACGTGCACAAGCGGAACCTCTCCAGGAGACCCTGCGCCGCGTGCCAGCTCTGCTCCGTGGGCTTCGACGCCCCGCTGTCGCAGGCTCGGGGCGCCGTCACGTCGTCGTCGTCCTCCTTCTCCTCCTCCTTTTCCTCCTCCTCCGCCTCCTCCTCCCGCCTTCCTCCTCTTCTTCCCGCCTTTCTCCTCCTCCTCCTCCTCCTCCTCCTCCTCCTCCTCGCCCTCAGCCGCCATGTCCTCCTCATGCCGCATCCTCGGCGGCCCAGCAGGCACCTCGCGCGGAGCAGTTTCCGGCTTTATGGGGCGCCGTCATGTCGCCAGCTAGGCTGGCCTTGATATGTTCATTTTCACGATGTGGAGGACGTTCTCGCGATAGGGCGGCTGCTACTCACCCACTCTGGTCGCCCTTCCACACCGCCAGGAGATCTCGCAACAGCTCAGCTCCTTAGACGCGCTTCTTCTTTCACCGACGCGCTGGAGGCAACCCGACCCGTCCAGCGAGGTGATCCTGCTTCACGCCCTCGAGCACCACGTGTACACAGGGGGCTGCGGCCGAGGCCCTCTGACCTACAGACGCGCGAGTGGCGCCATCATGGTCAGCAACCGCTTCCGCCCGAACCGCCGCCCTGAGTTCAAGAGCCCGCCCAAGCATTTCCAAGGTCGAGCGGGTGCCCTATGTATTATGCGCGGCGAGCAGGGCATCACTATCATCGTGGCCAGCCGTCCACCAGCGTTTGGCCTGGCAGACAAGCGCAACCAATGAGTCAAGGCAGTCAGCGAAACACTGAAGTGGATCAACAGCACGCTCAGCAGCACAACTACGAAGCGCACGCCGCTCTTCGGCCTGAACCGCTATGGCCACTACGGCGAGGGTGGTCCCATCCTAGCAGAGATCAAGGAAACGATCGACGATCCCAGCCCAATCGGACTGCCAGGCGAAGCGGCGGCAGCGTCCCATTTCATGATGGATGTACACGGCATTTGTCTCTTGCGCGCATTCTGGCCCGCGGTGCCCACTTATTGCGGCAGCGAAGGACACGCCAGTCGCCGCGACTTCCTGGCCGTACCACAGGGGCTCCGCGCCAATATTACCACGTGCAGCGTCTGGTGGAACGCGCCCACGGCAAATCGAGGGACCAATGGCAACGTTCCACGCGGCCACGCCCCCCCGATCGTCAGCCGCTACAACATCAACATCTTCACAGACCAGCACAGGACGGCTTGGGACCTCGGCAAGATGGCGGTGCCCCACCAGACGGGCAACCATCGCTACGAGTTTCTCGCAGATTGAGAGCGAGCGTTGGCGAGCAAGCTCGGCACCATCGAGCAGCTGGCCGCAGTCGACGCAGCGGACGTGCACCGGCAGTGCCCGATCGAGAAAGTGAAGGGCGCGGCCAAGCGCTGCTTCGCGCGCGAGATCAAGATGCCAGGCTGGTTCACGCAGCAGATGCAGGAATTCCTCAGGGTCCCGCAAACAAGTGCAGAACTGCGGAAATGATATTTTGGAGGAGAAGCACGCAGCGGACTTAGAGGATCAGCTGGGCCTCAACACGCTGGCCCACCAGAGGCAGAAGCAACTCCGTTACGCGGAGACACAGAGAGAGCTCGAGGCCTCCTTCGAAGCTCGGACCAGGCGAGATCGCGCAGAAGTCAGCAGACTATCCAGGTGCGTGACAGGCGCCCGATGCGGCATGCGGTGCAGCAGTTGCAGCAGAGGCAGCATAAAAAGGCGCAGCATGGCAGACTGGGCCCAACGCGTAGCTCTCAACGGCAAGGGCGACGGCCCCGAGGCGTGCCCGACAGACCCGCGCGAGTGGGGCAGTTTCGAAAAGGTCTTCGTCGGGGGCAGGAAGCGGCGCACGCGCCCCAGGAAGCGCGTCCGAGACGCCGCGCGGCCCCACTCTGCCGAGCTTTTGCAGATCAGCCCGCGGCAAGCCAAGATTACAAGGAGCAAGCCGCAGTCCGAGGGGCTGGGTTTCAACGGCGAGCTGACCGAGCCCCCCCTCGTCGAGGAGTGCTTCGGTCGAGTTCTCACCCGCGCCTGCGTGCCAGCTTCGCTTCGCTGGAAGCGCGTCGCAGCCGGGGCGCCGCGCTGGGCGCGATGAACGGCAGGGCGGTGAAGGGCCTCGGGACTTTGAGTTGCCGGCCCTCTCCTTGGTGCGAGTTCAGGCGGGTGCGCTGCAGTTCGAAGCCGTGGGCCTCCCGCCGCGTGCTCATGGGTGCTTGTTGCGTCGCAGAAAAGAGGTGCCCGTGGCAGCTGCCATTTCTCAGGCCAGCTGGATATCAATGGCCAGCCTCGACTCCGTCGCGGGTCGCAAGAGCGCCCCCCGCGCATTCCCGGGCGCGGCGACCGACGAAGCAGTCAAGGCGGCCCCCTCCAACCTCCCCAGCTCGAAGCAGCGCCTCTTTGCCCGCCGACATCCACGTGCGAGCGCGCAGATCGACGCCATCGACCCATCGGGCGACGTCGCGCTGAGCTCTAGAGTGCTGCCAGTCTGCGCGGGCCCCGCGTCATTCTATTTCGCGTGCGAGCAGCGCCTCGGGCGCTGGGCAGGCGCGACCATGCAGGGCCCCATTCCGTTCGCAACCTTTTCTCCCGTCGTTCGTGACGCGCGCGACCTCGTTGCGCGCCTCCGCGTTGGTGGCGTCCTCGGGCTCCACCTCGCCGGCAGAGGGAAGGCCGACGCCGCGGGTGATGGGGCCAGAGGGCGCGGGCGCAATCGGCAAGGCAAAGGGCGGAGCTCTGGCGTGGGCGCCGGGGGCAAAGGCAGCTCGACCCAACAGAGGCGGAGAAGGATAACAAGTCGAGGTCGATCCCAAGATGAAGTAGCTCCTGACCTTCGTCGGCACGCGTGTCCTGCCCTGCGCTGAGCAGCCGTCGTGGTGCGCGGCGGCGGCGCAGTGACCTAACTCTCGCCTGTTCAGAGCAGTCCAGAGCGAACGGTTAAGGCCCCTTGGCGCCATTTCGAAGATCTACGCGGGCAAATGAGGCGGGCGCGCGGTTGCGCTTTCGGTCTTCCAGGCGGCCATCCTTCTAGGGGGAGTATTTCGACCCCTTTCTGATGGGAAATGGGGGGCGGGGCGCGGCCAGTTCCTGGGCGTGGTCATCGCGGCAGTGGCCCTCGGGAAGGTCAAGCGCATGGGCCTCGTCGAGTTCTACGACAGTCGCATGGTCAGGCTCGAGTTGCCTTGGGGGCATGCCACCTGGGCGGGTGCGGACGCGGGCGATGGGGCCCGCCGCTGCGCCGCTCCAGTGCGCCTACATCGAGGGCCCATCCTCGGGGCTCTACTTCTCGTGGGGCCAGCGTGGGAGGAGGGCAAGGCGCATGGGGGCGTCGCGGAGGATGAGCTCTCGACCTGGCTTGCGGGATTTTGAGTTCAGAAGGATGATCGTCTGCGCCGCGGTTGGCGGGGCCCGGCGCGCTCGGCGACGCGGGGCCCTGAAGACGCCGCGCGGGGCGGCGGCGGCGGGGGCGGGGCGGGCCGGGCCGGCCAGGCAACTGCCCCCTGAGGCCGCGATTCTTCTTTATCTTTTCTTTCGTCGTCTTCTTCTTGTCTCCCCCTCCTCGTCCCCGTTTCTAACCTGGGGAAGTTCTGCGAACGTATTCGCCTGCGCTTTGAGTGCGGGGCCGCCGTCCAGTTCGGCTTCCCGCCGATGCTGCGCCGAGGGCTCCGCGTGCTCGACGCGGGGGGGCGCGCCCCCATCTTCGGCGGCGCGATCTCGAGCATCTACCAGGCGAACGGAGCCGTCATTGCAGGCTGCTCTGCGGCAACATAATTGGCCAGGCTACTATTGTTGGTGCCGTTGTTATTGGTTCCCGATCCTCACTCGCAGCTGCGCGCGCGCAACGCAGTGGGCGACGTCGGGCTCTGGGCGGTGGGCCCCGTCGACCTCGCGGCTGATCAGGTCGGCGTTGGCGCCGAGGCGTCGCTCGCGGAGATGGCGCGGCTGGAGTGGCCCATTCCGTTGGAGATGCGTGTTCACCTAGCGTCTAGCGCGCGCGTGGCAGACGCCTTCCAGCAGCGCTGGTCGCAGCCTGCCGCCGCGAGGGTCGACGGCGCTCCTTCGCTGGCACCGATGTGACAGTGGGGGGGTGGTCAGGGGGTGGCCGCCGACAGGGGCCAGGGGCAGGGGGCTCGCGCCGCGCCGCGCGGGCGTAGATGCGACGGGACGTAGGGGCCGAGATTTGGCAATTGCAGCTGGCCGGAGGGTCGGCCGCCGCCGCGCGGGGGTCCGCAGTCCAAGGCGTTGCCGGTGGGGCGCTCGACGGGCTGCGGGTGGCTGCGGCGCAGAGATTTGGGCGATTGCCGAAGGGGGCGCGTCAATTGGCTGGCGGGTGCGTCCTTTCAAGCTGGGCGTCGACTACGGCCCGTTCGTGCTCGCGGCAGCGCAGGTGCACTGGGCGTGGAGCTCGGCGGCGCGGGGGGCGACCCCGAAGCTTCACGTCCTCGAGGTCGTCATGCGAGACGCTCGTACCAAGTGCGCCCCACAGTCGACTACTTGGAGGCTGGTCGCTGCCCCTGCGGGCGCCCGCGACTTGCGCCATTTGCCGCCCAGCCGGGTGAAGCGCCAAGCAGCCTGGGCCTCCGCCGGAGCGTCTGTCGCTCAGGCGCTGGATAATGCGCGCGGCGGTTGGGGGGGGGGGCGATGGCGCCCCAGACGCACTGGGCGGCGCGCCTTCGGCGCCCGTTTTCTGGCCGCCGCTTTGAAAATTATAGGGGGGCTCTCGGAGGTGTGGGCCGCGCGGCGCGTCCGAGCGCTGCGGTCCGCAGTGGGCCGCGCGTTGTGGGGGCAAGCGCGGCTCGCTGCTCGTGGACTGGCGGCTTCTGATATTTGTCAGGCGCGCGGGGCCACGGAGGGCGCGCTGTGGCGCTTCTGCTTCCAGCGCCCCGCCAACGAGTCTTTTCGCCGACAGTGCCCTTCGCCAGAGGCCGGGCGACGCGCCCAGGCAGTGCGCGCGTGGAGCTGGGCAGCATGAGAGCGGCTAGCCAGAGGCACCCTGCCGGACCCGAGCCCTCTCTTCGTCTTCCCAGACGTGCCGTTCGAGATGCTATAGATAAGCCGCCCCGGCGACTGCCTCCTGAGAGGGCGCGTCTTCAGCGATGTCTCAGCCCTCTTCCCGACCGTCCCGTGTCTATCCGGAGCGGGGTGGGCGCTGGCCCAGTTGGGCAGGCAACCTGGCATCGGCGATCTACGGGGCCGCCCCGCGCAGCGAGGAGCCATTCCAGACTGCCCGTGGTGGGGGGGATTTCGCCGTCAGCGTGGTGTTCCCTCTGGTCGCCGTCGCCCCCGTCGATGCGTGCGTGAATTGCAAGGGCGCCGTCGGCGTCGTGAGCGGCGGCGCTGGGGCTGGCGCCAGGGCGACACATGACCACCAGCCCATCCAGAAACGATGCCCAGAGGAAGTGCCTTGATCAGGGAACTGGGCAGCGCGCAGGGGAAGGGTCCCCTAATGAGGGCCTCTTGGAGCGTCTTGGGGGCCTCTTGGCGGTCCCGGGCGCCTCTTAGAGCGTCTTGGGTGCCTCGGAGAGCTTCTTGGGGCCTTGGGGGGTCTCCTGGGCGCCTTTTGGAGCCCTCTAGAAGCGCTCTTGGGGGCCTTGGGGGCGCTCTTGGAGCCCTCTAGGGGCGCCTTCGAGCCATCTTGAAGCCTCGGATGGCCATCGGAAGCGAAAGGGCGAGAAAGCCCAGAACACTGATTCACTTCAGATGTTGGAAGGATTTTGGCCTCTTCGGGGGCCTCCTGGGAGAGCTCTGTGGCCACTTGGAGCCGTCTCTGAGCTGTCTTGGGGCCTCTTGGAGCATCGTGGGAGCCATCTTGAGGCATCTTGGGGTATCTTGAGCCATCTTGGAGGTCATCTTGGATTCCCCCATGCGCTCTTGGAGTCATCTGAAACAGTGCCCCCCCCCCAGGAGGCCAACATGTAGCCAATACCTTAGCAAGCAAATGATGATTTTGGAATTCTCGCCGAGGCCTCCTGGAGCGTCTTGGGATTCTGGGGGGTCTCTTGGGGCCTCGCGGGGGTCTTTTGGGGGCCCCTCGGGGGCATCCGGAGGGCCTCTAGGTGGCTTCTTGGGTCCGCGCGGTGCCATCTTGGGGCCCCTTGGGACCTCCTGGGCGCCTCTTGGGGCCATCGTGGAGGAGTTCGACCAAAGAAGAGGGGTCCCTCAATTGCGCCCCCCCATCGGAAGAGGCCAAGCCGGGGCCGAAACCTTAGCACTTCCTCGCCGAGGCCATCTTGAACGCTCCAACCTCTCGCGAACCCGTGGGGGCGTGGAGGGGTCAAGGCGCCCTCCCCGCCCGCGAGCCGTCTCGCTCGCTCCCGCCTGCCCTCCCAACGTAGCACCCGAGCCTGGTCCGAGCCGTGGCATATCCAGTAGTCGTCTTTGGATGGGCAGGTACTGCGGGCGAATCCGCCGCCGCCGCCGCCGCCGCCGCCGCCGCCGCCGCCGCCGCCGCCGCCGCCGACCGCCGCAGCCGTCGCCGCGCCGCCGCCGCCGCCGCCACCGCCGCCGCCGCTGTCCGCGCCGCCGCCGCCACCGCGCCGCCCGCCGCCGCCGCGGCCGCCGCTGCCGAATCGCCGCCGCCGCAGACGCTGGCGCCGCAGCCGCTGCCGCCACCGCTGCCTCCGCCGCCTTCGCCTTCGCCTTCGCCTTCGCCTTCGCCGCCGCCCCCGCCGCCGCCGCCGCCGCCGCCGCCGCCGCCGCCACGGCAGCCGCCGCCCCGCCGCAGCCGCCGCAGTCGTCGCCCCGCCGCAGCCGCCGCAGTCGTCGCCGCAGCCAAGTGTACTCTGTATTGTTTTTTGACAGTGATAGTGGGGGACGGCCGCGTCGGGTTGGCGGCGCGCGCTCCGGATTTGGAGGCGGAGTGTGTGTTTGTATTGTTTTTTGCAAAAGGGATGGTGGGGGGGGGGGCCCTCATTGGTTCGGGTTGGCTCCCGGTCGCCTGGCGGAAGGGGTGTATGTTAATAGGGAGCAGTGATCAAGACACACTCCCCGCCCGCAGGCCGTCTCGCTCACTCCCACCCGCCCTCCCAACACATACGTAGCACCCGGGCCTGGCCCGAGCCGCAACATTTTCAGAAGTCGTCTTTGGATGGGGGCGAATCCGCTGCCGCCGCCGCTTCCGCCGCCGCCGCCGCCGCTGCCACCGCGCCGCCGCCGCCGCCGCCGCTGTCCGCCGCCGCCGCCCGCCGCCGCCGCCGCCGCCGCCCGCCGCCGCCGCGGCAGTCGCTGCGCGCGCCGCCGCCGCCGCCCCCCCGCTGCCGAATCGCCGCGCCACCGCCGCTGCCGCCGCAGCCGCTGCGGTCACCGCTGCCGCCTCCGCGGCGCCGGCGCCCGCCGCCGCCTTCGCCGCCTTCGCCGCCTTCGCCGCCGCCCCCCCGCCGCCGCCCCGCCCGCCGCCGCCGCCGCCCCCGCTGCCGAATCGCCGCGCCGCAGCGGCCCGGCTGCGGTCACCGATGCAGCCGGCCGCCGGCGTCACCGCCCGCCGCCGCCGCCGCCGCCGCCGCCGCCGGCCGCCGCCGCCCCCGCCGCCGCCCCCAGGCCGCCGCCGCCGCCGCCGCCACAGCTGCCGCCACCGCCGCCGCCGCCGCAGCCGCTGTCCCCGCCGCGGCCGCCGCCGCCGCCAAGTGTACTTTGTATTGTTTTTTGACAGGGGTGGTGGGGGGAGGCCGCATCGGGTTCGCGGCGCATGCCCAGAATTTGGAGGCAGAGTGTGTTTTGCATTGATTTTTGCAAGGGGGCTGCATTGTTCCTGGTTGGTTCCCAGTCGCCTGCGGGAGGGGGTGTATACTAACAGGGAATAGTGTGATCAACCCATCCCCGAAGGGGGAAACGGGGGTGGAATATGAAACGCTTTAGACCACCTACGCCCAGAGGACTGGTGGGATTCTGGGGGGCGTTTGTGCCTTGTGATGTTACATTCACAAAACCCTCGCCCACGCGACGCGGGCAGACGTGGACGGCGGCAGGACGACCGCCATTGACAGGCGCGCGAATGCCAAGGGTGACGAGCTGTCGAAGGCGTGTGCCGCCCAAAAACCAAGCGACAACCTAACTCCCGGGAGCCCTGTGTGTAAAAAGCAGTACGCAGAGGGGGGCCAGACATCTTCCGGACGTCATCAGGGGAGAGAGGAGAGTAGTATTCATTTGGTGTAATTGTAGAGGAAGGTTGGGGAACGTGGTGGAGGAAGGAGCGGGGGGCGAGGAGGGGCCCCGTGCGTTTCGTGTGCTGGTGCCTTCGTTGGTGTCGCCGCGGGCGTTGCCTGATCGAATAAAATTTGCTTCCGAGGACCAAGCATGTAACTGTTTGTGAGGGCTGTGGTGCGCGTAATCGTTTGCGCTGCGCGCAGCGCAAAACTGAAAGCGTCTGTGTGCTGGTTTGGAGGACGTCGCGGCGGAGATGGGCTGGTGGGCGGGGCAGCTGCACAGCCATGTCGCTGACAACGGGCCTCCATACCGAAAAGACGTTCTGGGCAGGCGTACCAGCAAGGAGGACGCCGTGCAGGAACCTCAGGGCGATGAGGGTGGCGCCGCGAGCCTGAGTGCCAGCGCTGCTGGCCCGCCCCTTCAGCCTCTTCCTCCTCCTCCTCCCTTTCCTCCTCCTCCTCCTCCTCCTCCTCCTCTTCCTCTTCCTTCTCCTCCTCCTCCTCCTCCTCCTCCTCCTCCTCCTCCTCCTCCTCCTCCTCCTCCCCCTCTGCCAGAGTTGTTCACTGAGTGGGCCCCAGCGTGGCGCGACTACGAGCCAGTCGCGTTTCGGGTGCTGGGCCATGCGTTGCTGAACGCCGACATCCAGGGGAAAACTGGGATGCGGTTGGTTTTCTGCTACCATTGCGGGACCTATTCGGGGGCAGGTCCCCGCGGGAGTGCATGCGTTCTTTCTGCAAGGGCCCGAGGGGCGGCCCACAGCTCAGAGAGCAATTGTCCAAATGTTCGAAGGGAGACCATCCCCACTCTCGCAAGGCAACGCGGGGCCTGAAGCTTGCGCCACCCGAGGGCGTCCCTTGGGATGAGCGCCAGCGGCTGCACGCAATTTTCCCGCACGTCGCCAGCCCTTCGTTGGCTACGCCCGCCCGGCCACGTGCTGGAGGAGGGCGCGCGGCTGCCCCAGAGACGTCGCCGCAGCAGGCCGTGCTCTGGGCTTTCGGCTTCGCTGAATCCGACCTCCCGCGAGTGCGGCTGCGCGGCCAGAGGGTGGCAACCGGGTCCGTTCCTCCCTCCCTCTCTTTTCCTCCTCCTCCTCGTCTCTTCTCGTCGTCGTCGTCCTCCTCCTCTTCCTCCTCTTCCAGGCCGAGCGAACATTCCCCGTCAGGGCTCCTTGACACGGGGATTGACAAGCCGGCACATTCGCGCGCCCGAAAAAGTGTAGCCATTGAAACATTCCACAGAAGTGCTCTGTCCAGCTGGACTGTTCAAAGTCCTTCTTTGCAGTGTCCTAGTTTCCTGGGGGCAGGAGGGGGAGGGGGAGGAGGAGGAGGAGGAGGAGGAGGAGGAGGAGGAGGAGGAGGAGGAGGAGGAGGAGGAGGAGGAGGAGGAGGAGGAGGAGGAGGAGGAGGAGGAGGAGGAGGACCCCCCCGCGCGGCCAGGCCGGCCTGTTGCAGCTGGAGGAGGTCAGGCCCGCGTGCCAGAGGCTGCTGCCGGAGCTGGAGGCGATCTTCCACTCGCCGCTGCAGAGGGCCCGGCAGACAGGACGCCCCGTTTTCCTTCGCCCGCGCGTCTGCCTCGTGACTTGCCCCTGCCACGTTGCCGCTTTGTTTCGCCTGGTAGTTCGCCACCATCGTGGCTCTTTTCCTGCGCTTCGCTGGCGACAGTTGCGCTGTACGCCTTGGCCCTGTGCTGTTCGACCCTTGGACGGTGCGCGGCTGCCTCCGCGTCACTCGCAATCAAAAAGTCTGCCTCGTGACAAAGCCGCGGGCGAGTTGTGCACATCGTGCCGCGTTGTCGTCTCCCGGGATGTCGTTCATCCTCGACGCGAGACTTGTGTGATGCTCCGACCTACTTCAGCCTGAACCTTCAGGACAGTACCGAAGCTCGATGGTTTTCACGTGTTTGGCCCTGGGAGAGACTTGTCCGAAACGACGCTGTTTCGACACTTTTCCAGGTGCTCGAAATCATTTCTGGGATGTGGTCCGTGAGTACGATGGGAACAACTTAGCCCAAGACCCAGGGATGGTGCGGTGTATAGGTTTTCGGCCTTCGGAACCCCGAAAAGAGTGGGGCCTGAAAGGAATTCAGACACGGTGCGGTGCATGTGCGCCGCTCTCGTAGCACAGCCTCGTCCCCAGAGGGACGAGCTCGGTTGCAGCCTTTGGGAGGCTAAACTCAGCGTCGGCGCTGGTGCAGCCGTGGTCGGAAACCAAATTCGTGCGGGCTTGATTACGTTGGGTCCCGCTTAATTCCCTTTGATCGGGTTTCGTCCCTGGCTTCGTCAGGCTCCGTTCGGCCCGGCGGAATTTTAGCCTGGCCCCGTATCCCACCTGATCGCCCCCACGACGACCTCCCAGGAGCTGCCTCCCAACAGAGAGGCATGCAGTGTACTCGGTCGCTGCGTTCCCGACACCCAGGAATCGCGCTCTCGCGGGAGACCTCACTCACAATGTATTCAGGGAGCGTGCTCCCGCCTGCAACTTCTCCGCAAGCTACGACGCTCGCTTCGATGCCCCCCCCCCGCCCAGCCCGCCAGTTTTAGGACCCGCCCGCCGGACCCGCCCATCAGGGTCCGCCCGCCCGATCCGCCCGTTCGTTAGGGTTCGCCCAGTTGGCCTGCTTGGAAGCCCCCCCGCCCGCTTTCATGCCCCGCCCGGCCCGCCCGTTGGTGTGCACCCGCCGAGCCCGTCCGTTATGGTGCGGCCGTCTGACCTGCCTGTTGGGGTCCGCCCGCCCGACTTGTCCGTGAGGGTCTGCCCGTTCGCTTGTTTGGGAGCCCGCCCGCCCGTTTTTGTGCCCTGCCCTCCCGATCCGCCCGTCAGGGTCCGCCTACCAATCTTCCTGCCTCTCCCCTTCCCCGCCTGCTGGGCATTTTTCGTGCCTCATTGCTCCCTCTTGCCCCCCTCCCTTCTCCATTCCCTCCTGTCATTATCGCTCTTTCTCTCTCTCTCTCTCTCTTTCTTTCTTTCTCTCTCTGTCTTTCTCTTTCCATTTATGCTTCATTCATTATTTGCCACCTTCACGTGGCAGACGAGAAAAACTTACCACCCCGAAGGGGGCATCTAAGACGAAGAGGGTGGGTATCGAGGTTTTGTGGTACACATTCTGAGTGACTCGCGAGCGGATAGAAGCGAGCCGTCTCAAATTAATGTTTTTCCCGTCGATTGCAGCAGGCGAAGTCGTGGGAACACCTTTTTCGTCATAGGCACATGCTTCAACTGTCGCTGACCGCAGCACAGTGTTGTCTCTCTCGATGCAGGCTACCATAGCGACTCAGACGTTAGCCCTCTCAATGTGTGAGCGCATGATTGTCGTTTTGGGATGCGCGTGGCAGAAACCTTTTGTCCAAACCAGTTGATCCTGCTGCAGCAACCGGCGGCAGCGGCGGCTGCTACTGTCGCTGCTGAACCATATTGATTGCTGTCATGAGGGCCAAGGACAATCCCAGCATTGGAAGGTTAACCTTCAGTTCTTCGTGATTGGGCTGCCCATTCGGGAATACCTTTTTATTCAGGGTATATCCATGACTCATTGGACGTTCGGTGAAGGCTCGCATGCTCTTGACCCACGTTTTTGTGGCCATGTCTCGACTGTATGTGCGCTTGCTGTGCCCTCTCCCCCGTCTTTCGTTCTGCCCCTCCGCTTCCCCTCCTCGCTCCCTGTCGCTTTCGGAAACAGCATCGGCTCCCAGCTCAATGTACCTTCGGCGCAGAGGACTTGCGCGCGCAGAAGGGTGGGGTGGGAGGGGGTGGGGGGTTGTGAGAAGAAAGAACAAGCATTGTGTCGAGGCGGAGAGCGACGGACGGCGAGGTGCAGTATTGTTAGTAGTGACGATGGTAGTGTGAACAGTCGGAGGATGAAGACGGGGAGTGATGATGACGATATTGATGCTTGACGTGGATGACGATGCTTGTGGTGAAGGTTGTGGTGATCTTAGTGATGAAGACGGTGATGAGGGTGGTGAGGAGATGATGGTTACGGTGGCGGTGATGATATGGATGAGGCGATGGATTAACCATTTTTCTTCAGCGTCTCCGTCCGCAGCGGTCAGAAGCGTGTGCACGTGCTGAATTTCAGATCGCGGCTTCTCTTGGCGCTCGCCTCGTTTCGTCTCGTTTCTGCGGTCTGTCGCCCCCCCTCTCTCGCTCGTCCCTCCTCCCGCTCTGTCGTTTCTGCGCGCTGGGCTCGTCGCTGCTTCCGTCTCGGCCTCGCCGTCCCCTCTTTTTCCCTAGCATTAAGTCGGAGGGGGAGGAGGAGGAGGAGGAGGAAGAGTAGGAGGAGGAGGATGAGGAGGATGAGGAGGAGGAGGAGGAGGAGGAGGAGGAGGAGGAGGAGGAGGAGGAGGAGGAGGGGTACTTAAGCACAGACACAAAAGAGAAGTGGCGGTGCTCGTGGCTCTCGTGCTGCAGTGCATCTCGTTGGCGCTCTCGATCCCGCGCAAGCAAAAAGCAGGTCTACGGGGGGAATGTTCAAAAATAGTAAGAAGATAACCTGGCGAAGGACCCAACCACGAGCTGTTGTGATTACCACATTCGTGAATGTCATATTCGCCCGCGCGCCGTATGAGGCCACGAACCGTGCGAGGGGCGTGCCGACATCAGTGGCGGGGCACACAACGCGAACGAAGACGATAGGTCTGTGCGCGAGAGACTTGGAGCGGGTGGGTCTGAGCGCGAGCGGGTCTAGTTGTGAATGAATCCTCGCGCGCGTGAGTCTACGTGCATAAATGTCGACGCCCATGTCGGCACGCCCCTCACGAGGATCGCGCCCGCTTCCTTCCCGTTCTTGTTCTGCCTTTCTGCCCGCGCACGGCAATGTCCAAGGCTGCTGGCGCGGCGCCGCACGGCGTCCCCGCGACGCACGCTGGTCGCCCCGAAAAGATCCCGGCGACGCGCGGGGGTCGACCGGAGCTAGCTGGCTGGCTGATGGCGGGCAAGGCTCTGACCGCTGGGCAGAGCGACGACGGGGGCGAGCGAGGCGCTGGGCAGAGCGCAACATGGAGTTCCCGCGACGCACGCTGGTCGCCCAGAGAGAATCCCAACGACGCGCGCGGGTCACCCGCGGCGCGAGGCTGAACAGTCAGACCGTCGACAGACGGCGAAGCTCGGGCGGGCCCGCTCCTCAGGTCAAGCCTCGCGGATACGGTGAAGCCCAGCTCCCTGGCGAGGACCGTCGCCTCTCGGGTGTGCCAAAATGGCAGCGAGGCCATGCGAGTTCCGCCGCTGGGACCTTAGGCGGAGCTCCCTATGAGGGAGGCGGCGACGCCATGCGAGTTCCTCCACTGGGACCTTAGGTTGAGCTGACCTCCTTATGGGGCCACGAAGCGTCTGAGGGGTGCGCCGAAATCTGGCACGGCCGCTATGCGAACCCTGCCGCTGGGGCCTTCGGTGGAGCTCCCTATGGGGCCACGAAGCGTGTGAGGGGTGTGCCAAACATGGGGCGGGGCCGCCATGCGGACCCTGTCAATGGGGCCTTTCAGTGGAGTTTTTCATGGGGTCACGAAGCGTGTGAGGGGTGCGCGAAAAAGGGGGCGGGGATGCCATGCGAGCTCCGCCACTGGGACTTCGGGTGGGGCTCCCTACGGGGCCACGAAACGTGTGATGGGGTGCGCCAAAAAGGGGGCGGGGATGCCATGCGAACTCCGCCACTGGGACCTGAGGTGGAGCTCCTTATGGGGCCACGAAACGTGTGAGGGGTGCGCCAACATGGGGCGGGGATGCCATGCGAACTCCGCCATTGGGGCTTTAGGTGGAGCTCCCTATGGGGCCACGAAGCGTGTGAGGGGTGTGCCAAAAAGGGGGCGGGGGTGCCATGTGAGTTCTGCCACTGGGACCTTAGGTGGTGCTCCCTATGGGGCCACGAAAAGTGTGATGGGGTATGCCACAGTGGGGCGGGGACGCCATGCGAGCTCTGCCGCTGGGACCTCAGGTGGAGCTCCCTATGGGGCCACGAAACGTGTGGGGGGTGCGCCAAAATCGGGCGGGGATGCCATGCGAGCTCCGCCATTGGGGCCTTATGTGGAGCTTTTCATGGGGCCACGAAGCGTGTGAGGGGTGCGCCAACATGGGGCGGGGATGGCATGCGAGCTCCGCCAGTGGGACCCCAAGTGGAGTTCCATATGGGGCCACGAAACGTGTGAACGGTGTACCGAAACAGAGACATTCGGAGAACAAAGGCAACGGGGTGAGGAGGAAAAAGAGGAGTAGGATGAGGAGGAGGAGGAGGAAAAAGAGGAGGAGAGGAGGAACGCGGGGTACCGTCTCTTCAAAACGAGGACCCAACACCACAGGATGGTTGGGAAATAATCAGGGGACGATTTTTGATTATTTTTGGGTATTGAAGGAAAATTCAAAAGTATTTTCAATTTTTCGTCCAAAATCCGCCTGTACGGGGCCATGCCCGACCTTTCCCTCGCTCCCTCGTCGGCCTCTTGGGCCGCCCCGAAGCCAGAGAGCCTTGCACTGCCAGTTCGCTTCTCCGTTGCTGATTGGTGGATCGCACGATCGGGAGATCGCACCGTATGGTTTGGCAGCACTGGGATACTGCTTCCTTCGGGCGCGAAAACTTAGTTGCCCAGCTGTGCCCCATCATGGTGCTTCCCACGGAGCACCCATGCAGCTTGACAGCGAAGATGGAGCATGAGCGGCTCGATATGTCTCGTCAGGACCGCAACCCAGCGGTCCTGATGCTGATGCGCATCGAGCCGTTTGATGGAGCACAGGAGCATCTTCCTGAGGCCACGTCGTGGCCCCTGCCCTGCGAAGCACTGGAGCGACCTCCGCATCGCGACCTTCGTCCCGAAGAGTGCTTTCTGCACGTGCTCTTTGGGCTTGCCGGGCTTGCTTAGCAGCGTACCGCGCCGTCGGCTCCGGCCCACCGCACTTCGGCACGCCGAGCTATCATCACTCCGAGAGATCCCATGCCTCCAGTGGAACGCGTTATCCTCCTCGACTGCAACCTCGGGGGCGACACGCTGTCAGCGTTGATGGCATGGCGTGCCGCAGGGGCCGCCGACGCGGCACGGTAAGCAGATGTTCCTGGCCGTAAAAGGAGTGCGAGGGGGGTGATGATGAGGATGGTGATGTTGATGATGAACATGATGCTGATGATGATGATGCTGCTGGTGGTGATGATGATGATGCTGATGATGAGGATGGTGGGTGTGGTGATGCTGATGATGATGCTGATGGTGCTGCTGATGATGATGCTGATGGTGCTGATGATGATGCTGCTGCTGATGATGCTGATGATGATGAGGAGGAGGAAATGAGGAGGAGGAGCAGGAGGAGGAGGAGGAGGAGGAGGACATTCCGTTAGCCTCTGCGCTGCGCGCCATCCTCCCCACCATTCGGCTTGCACGCAGGAGGAGCACTAGCCTCCACGTCCGCAGGCCGCCTGCTCAGCGTCCACGCCGAGCACGCCGACGGGGATTACGGCCCCCCACCGTCCGATGTAGAATGACCCCATACCGAAGGCGCAGTCGCTAGTGGGATAGCGGGCCCCCATCGCCTGAACCGGCCGAGTACCGAAGCTCAACCTGGCCGAAGAGCGCCACCACCGAGTCTTATTCCAGCTGCTCGGGCTTGCACTCCTTCTCCGCACATTCACGGAGGCTGGCGCGCGACCGCGCCTGCTGCCTCAAAGTGTTGCTGGACCCTAGCTTTGTGCCTCCGCTCCCGCACTTCGGCCGTGATGTCCATGCAGTCTGGTGTCGTTCTTCGGCTGCAGCGTCCTCGCGGTGGCCGTCGCGTCAGCCGAATGCTTCGCCTCGGCCTCCAATGCCGTAGCCCCAACCCGAGCGACCGACACGATGTGGGCGCCCGCCTCAGCCTGCATGTGGGACACCGTGCCCAGCTGCGCCGTCTTGAGCTCGGTGATCTCGGACCGCAGCGTCTGCACGATGGCCACCAGGGCGTGAATGGACTCCTCCAGGTGCTGGAACTCGTCGGCCTTCACGGTGGCCGTGTCGCCCAACACCTCCGCCTCCACCTCGTCCGGCTTGTCCTCGGCGGCCTCGTCCTCGAGGCCTGGGCCCTCCGTCGTGGAGGCCTTCTGCTGCTCGGCGTCGCCCTTGCCGTCGAGGTGGGAGCGCACCTCTAGGGGACCGCGTGCGAACCCTACCCCTAGCCCCCACGATCTCTGAGGGGGAGGGTGGGGTTCGCTTCGCTCGGGAACTCCCGAACGAAGTGAGCCCCACCCTCTCCCTCAGAAATCGTGGGGGGTAGGGGTAGGCTTCGCACGTGGCCCCCTCACCTCGCGAGCGAGCCCCACACCTCGGTGCCCGCGCCCGGCCCGCAGCCTGCCGAGCCTCCCCGGGCGGGACAACCGCTGCGTCGCGCCTCCACCCCGTGGCACCGTCTCGGCCGCGCCGGCGGCCTCCGGGGCGACGTCGAGGGCCACGGCGCGCCTGCGCAGCTCGTCTGCACCGCGGCCGCTGCCCGCATCGCCGCCAGCAGAGGGAACACCCGCCGCGCCCCGCGCTGCGCGCCGTGTCGCCGCCGCGAGGACTGAGGTGAGCACCTTCAGGGGGACGAGAATGACATAAACGTGCAAACTCGGAGGTCCGCGCGGATTCCTCGGATTGGCGCTGGACCCCTCTCCCTGGCGCGTGGAGCGCGCCAGGGGCGGCGCCGGAGGCGCCGCCAGGGGGCCCCAGCGTGGATCCGAGAAATCCGCGCGGACCTCCGAGTTATTGTGTTTACTCCAGATTTCGTATTAAAGGGAGGGGGGTCTCATTTCGGGGGGGGTCTCTTCCAGGCTATCTTGGAGGGCCTGGGGGGTCTGGGGACGATGTTTTGGAGGGTTCTCCCACGGGGGAGGTCTGAAATGGCTTGTCTTGGAGGGTCCAGACCCCCTCCCTTTTATTACGAAATCTGGAGTATTGTGTTTATGCCTTTTTTGGTTCCCCTGAACTTGGCCTCCGTGGAGCCGTGGGGCCACCGCCCGCGCCGCGCCGAGGGCGGTCCGCGTCTGGGCCGCCGGGAGGCCCGCCAGGTGGGCCCGGATGTCCGCCCGCTGGGCGAGCGAGCCGCCGGGGTCGGCCAGCCGCGCCTGCTCAGCCTCCTCCTCCTCCTCCTCCTCCTCCTCCTCCTCCTCACGCGCTGAGCAGGAGCCGAACATGGCTGCGGGGGACGGGAAAGGGAAGGGGAGGGGAGGGGAAAGGGAAGGGATGATGAGGATGATGATGCTGATGATGCTGCTGCTGATGATGATGCTGATGCTGTTGCTGCTGATGATGATGCTGATGCTGATGATGCTGCTGCTGATGATGACGATGATGATGATGCTGATGATGCTGCTGATGATGATGATGATGATGCTGATGCTGCTGATGTTGCTGATGCTACTGCTGCTGCTGATGATGATGATCATGCTGATGATGATGCTGATGTTGATGCTGATGCTGATGCTGATGATGCTGATGATGATGCTGCTGATGATGATGATGATGATGACGCTGCTGCTGATGATGAGGAGGCGGAGGAGGAGGAGGAATACAAATTATGGGGAACGCAGGAGGATGACGGGGTGATGATGCTGATTATGTTGTTGATGATGATGCTGCTGACGATCATTGTGTTTTTGGTAGTTGTGATTTCGATCATGATGATGACGAGGAGGCGACTTGTACTGAATGATGCTGGCGATGAGTATGATGCTGATGATGATATTGGTGATGGTGCCAATGACGATGACGACAGTGATGATGCTGATCATGACGATTATTATGATGTGGACGTTGATGATGATGGTCATGACGATGACAAGACTGATGATGCTGACGATGCTGGTGATGCCGATCATGATGATGCTGATGATGCTGATGATGATGATGATGATGATGATGATGATGATGATGACGAGGATGCTGGTCGCGACGACGATATCGATGATGGTGGTGGTGATGGTGGTGATGATGATGATGATGATGATGCTGGCGCTGATGATGGTGCTGACGATGACGATTATGATGATGGTGGTTCTGATGGTAATGATGCTAAGAACAATAACGCTGATGACGCTGCTGATGATGAAGAGGATTATGCTGGTGCTGCTGGTGATGCTGAGGAGGAGGAGGAGACGGGTAATCATGATGATGTTGTTGATGCTGTTGTTGATGATGACGATGCTTACGATGATCATGAGGATTATGCGGATGTTTAGGATGATAATGATGACGATGATGATGCAGATAAGGAGGTGGATTATGAACAAGATGATGTTGATCACGTAGTATCATCAGGATGATGAGGATGATGATGAGGATGATGAGGATGATGATGAGGATCACGGTGATGACGATGATGCTGATGATGATGATGATGCTGATGCTGATGCTGATGATGCTGATGCTGATGCTGATAATGCTGATGATGATGATGCTGATGCTGCTGATGATGGTGATGCTGCTGATGATGATGATGATGATGATGATGGTGATGATGATGATGATGATGATGATGATGATGATGATGATGATGATGCTGATGCTGATGCTGATGCTGATGCCGATGCTGCTGATGATGATGCTGATGATGATGATGCTGATGATGATGATGATGATGATGATGATGATGATGATGATGATGATGATCATGCTGATGCTGATGCTGCCGCTGATGATGATGCTGCTGATGATGCTGATGATGTTGATGACGATGATAATGTAGAGGAGACGGAGGAGGAGAAGGAGGATGACAAGGAGGAGGAGGAAGAAGAATACGATGACGAACACGAGGAGGAGGAGCAGGAGAAGGAGGAGGAGGAGGAGGCGGAGGAGGAGTAGGAGGAGTAGGTTGAGGAGGAGGAGGATGAGCTGGATCAGGGAGTGGAGACGCACGTGTGGACGACGAGGAGGAGGATGAGGAAGAATGATGATGATAAGAAGAGTGGTATTAAACATAATAGTAGCAATACTACTATAGTAAAAATAATAAAGTCAGAGTAATGATAAAATTAAGAAGACTCATAAGTCATAAGTAGGCGTAGACACTTCAATTCTCGAGGAACTTCAGAACCTCGATCGCCCACCCCTCCCGCCGCTGCAGAACGGGCCCGGGGACTTCTCTGGCGGGGAGCCGCAGTCGCCGGTCCCTTGGGTGCCACTCCTGTGCCTGAAGGAGGAGCAGTTCGAGGAGCCGCTGTCGATGTTGTTCCTCCCTCCTTCCACCTCCTTCCTCCTCCCTCCTCGCTCCTCCTCCGTCCTCCCTCCTGCCTCCTCCCTCTTTTCTCCTACCTGCTCTCCCCCGTGCATGTTTTCTGTCGCAGCTGTGGCGCGTTCACCAGTCCTCGAGCTTGTGCGTTGTTGACTGCCTGTCCAGAGGACCCCAGGGACCACAATGCCAAGACTCGTCGGAATCGATTGCTCGATGGTCGCACCCGTGCAAGGGCTCGAGACTTCTGTTTCTCCTCCTCCTGCTCCTGCTCCTCCTCCTCCTTCCTCCTCTACGGGAAGTCCTTGGTCGATTTTGTGGCGACCTAGACGTCGGTGCGTACAGTGCACCTCGCGTCTTTGGCGTGCTGCTCGAACGGTACCCTACCAATTTATTTCGATCGGTGCCTCTATTGCAGCTTGTTTTCGGCCAGCCTGAACGTGTCACTGACACTGGCTTCTCCTGGTGGCTTGGCTATCTACTAAAAATTGCTAAGGCCTTACGGGTGCCACCGACCGTGGAGGCCTCGGCCCTCGACGGGAATGGGAGGGAGAGAGCGGGCCATGGGCCCCCGGAGGGTGAGATTCTGACCAGGGACCCCCCCCCGGGCCCCCCCCCAGGATCCCCCCCCCCCCCCAGGACCCCCCCCTGCGCGGGGAAGGGATCAAAGGGAAGGGGCTTCCCTTCGACTCAATGACAACTTTGCTCAATTTCGCTGTGGATGGGCTGGGGTGTATTTCGCTTTGGCTGGCGTGCTTGAGAACGAGGGCCCAAGGAAAGGGGGGGATCGGAGGAGAGGCCGTGATGGCGGCGGCGACGCGACGGCGGCAGCGACGGCGATGGCGACGGAACATCCCCTGTCACACGCCGACAGGGTCGGCGGATTTTACGGCATGGCGAATTTGGCTGGTTTCGGCCCCGCATGTGCGTGTTTTCAAAGTGCTGCGTGCCGTCACCACTGCTCTATGCTGTCTTAGTGTCGGGTCCGCTGTTGTGGTGCTGCCGCGGCCTGTATAGCGCTCCGCCCATGCTATTGTTTTGCGGTGGATCGTAGGGTAGCACCCTACCCATCGTCTCGCCAGGCCATTGCATTCTGCGTTACCCCATTTTTCGGCTGTTCTGGCAGCTTGCAGGTTGTAATTTGTACCGACGTTTCAAGTTGCCTCGAGTCGAGCTATTGTGCTCCTCGGGTTCTGGCTGCTGCACGCTTTTGGGCCTTCATATGTTGGTAACTCTTGGCCTGAATTCGCACTAGACTGCTGCCCGCGTTCCCATTCCTGGCGTCGAGCTACGCTCCGCGGGATGCTTGGCCGCTGCGCTTTGGCTTGCAGTGCCTCGTCTTTTCACCACCACCACCAATCTGCATGAACTTGGCTGGATTCTTTCACCACGGCGCGTTCGACTGAGTTCGCTCGCGATTGGCACCCCTATCTGCCGACCGCGCCTGAGTTTTTTTTGCGCCGCCGACTTAAAACATGTGTGCGTGTATGGATGCTTCTTTCGGTCGCAATCATGCTCATGGGTTTCTCGGGCAGTTTGCATTGCACCGCACGATGCGACCGGTGCTAGCCGGAGTGATGTTCGCATCGCCTTGGCCAAGTTAAAGGTTCAACATATGTCAGTGTGTGGTGTCACATTGCCAGCGGATAACATGTGTGTGTGTTTATATGTGCGTGTGGGAATCGTTGTTTCCGCACGTGCGCGTACGTTTGTGGTGTTTGTTGCTTGTCGCGATCTGTGAAAACACGTGCGATACCATGGTGCATGGTATGCCAGCTCCGTCCAAGGAGCATATACAGGAACCTGGCTGCAATGTTTTCGGCGGCCACCGTATGAGGGAGGGCGTGGTCACCAACTCGGACAAGTTTCGAAGGCATTGTCTCTGTTTGGCATATGAGCATTGTGCCATGCGAGCGGGTGTGTTCCTGATGATTGTCAGGGCGTGCCTCAGCCCCGTGTGTGCGTGTGTGTTTATGCCGTTCATCTTTACCGCTAGCACGCAGCCTTTGTCGGCCTTCGCATTACGTTGGCCGCGTCGCGTTGAAGGGCTCGGTGGACCAGCGCACGTTGGCGGTAACACACGGTCTGAGGCGTACCAGTCTTTGCTGGCCATTTGCTTATCTGCCGCGCATTGACCACGACCTGCGTTCGCACGTGCACTGCGTCACCTTTCAATCATCCTGTCCTGCTGCTCCTCGCTTTCCCGCCCCTGCCCTACCCCGTCGTCCGCTTGTTCATCCTCGGTTTCTTCCTGCGAATCGTCCTGCTCTCCCTCCTGCTTCTCCTCCTGCTTCTCATGCTCCTCATCCTGTTGCTCCTCCTCCTCCTCCTCCTCCTTCTCCTCCTCCTCCTCCTCCTGCGGTCGTTTCTCCTCGTCATTATGATTATCGTTTTGGCCTGGTGCATCGTTCTCGGCACCTCGTCGTCATCCAGAGTCTCCAGAGTCTCAGCGTGCCTCCGTTGCCCCGTGCCGTGAGCCTCGACCGCGCTGGGGACAGTCGACCACCCGAGAAAATCGAGCCCCAAGAAAGTACCGTCACTGGAGGGTTTTCACGTGTCGGGCTTTGGGAGGCGATATTCGTTCGACACAGTTTCGATACTTTTCTGGGTGCTCGACATTATTTTTGGGATGTGGTCTTTAAGTGCGATTTGGAGCAACATAACGCTAGCGTGGAAAGACACCGTAATCGGGCTATGCAGTTGCAGCAGTGTGGGCGTCAAGATGCTGTCGAGTCGACGAAGACTAAGGGGCAGATAGGTTTGCCGGCCAGAACGGAACGGAGCTTGTCGTACGTCGCCCATGCGCAGTGGCGCGGATCCAGATTTAGCGGATCTGGGACCGAGCGCCGACAGCATCCAAGGTGTCCGCACAAGTTCTGCCCAGCAGCTGCGTATGCGCCATAGCTACCCCTGCGGTTGCCACTTGCATGTTCGATGTTTCTTCTCATGTTTGTCGTGACAGTTCGTGCCGCCGAGAAGATGCGCCGCCGCGCTGTGTCGTGTGTGTCTGCGGGGAGCGGAGGGTGAGCAGCTCCAGCCTTTTCGAACCAGAGACATGGCGTAAACGTCAGCTCTTGAAGGTGCGCGCGGATTTCTTGGATCGGCGTCGCGCCTCCCTGGCGGTGTCTTCGGTGCAGCCCCTGGCGCGCTCCGCGCGCCAGGGATGGGGGTCCAGCGCCGATGCAAGAAGTTCGCGCGTACCTCCGAACGTTCATGTTCATGCAGTTTGTTTCTTTGTGGGCCCCGGAAACGGCAGGGCCGTTTTTTCACCGTTTCCAAAAAATGTCCATTGAAAATGGAACCGGCAAAAAAACGGCGACCGGAAACGGCAACAAAAACGGCTCCAGGATCGGAGCTGGAGCCGGAGCCGGCAAACAAACGGCGACGGAACCGGCAACCGGCAACAAAAACGGCAAAACGGAACTGGTAACAAAAACGGTCCTGTCGTTTCCAGGGCCCACTAAGGTCCTGGGGGCCTGAGGAGCTGACGGAGGCACTTGTTGAGCATGCGCGTCCTTCCTCCGCGGGCGTTCTCCCCTCGTCCGTTGAGCTGACGGGGGGAAGGAGGGGGGGAGACTCCACCTGCTCGAATTTGCCCGCTCGAAGAGCACCTACTCCACTAAGGTTTGTTCATTCTGCAATTTGTCCGCTCGAAGAGCACCTCGTCCTCTGTCTCGTGCTGCCCTCGGCACGGCCATGAGGCCGGGCCCCGGCGAGCGGCCTCGGTGGCGAATGCCCGTGCGGCCATGCGCCGCGGACGCGCTCCTCGGGTGTGCTGCTCCACGTCTGCCTGTGGACAGCCACATTCCCTGGGGAGTCTGATCGTTTCCAGGAGGCTCCCGCGGCTGCCTGGGCTACCCATACTACTACTACTACTGGTACTACTACTGCTACTACGACTACTACGGCTACCCCTACGACTACTATTACTACTAGGGCACTCCCGGAGAGGTCCCGTAGGGCCCGCGGGCCGTCCCGAGGGGTCGGAGGTTGGAGCTTTCCGAGAGGCGCTTCGGAGCGCGTCCTCTGGGCTCGTCTTGGGGCCCTCGTGGGGGCTCCTCGGATTGCTCGGAGGTCGTCCGAGGTTCCGCGAACGCCCGGGCAGTGCCGACTGCCCTCCCCAGGAGGCCTTCATGCCAACAGTCTGTCCTTGGTTTTCGTGGCACAAGCCATGGTTCATTTCGATTCGATCGATCCGATCCAATATCGGAGGCCTAGAGGCTGTCAGCAAGACCAGTATCGGCGTGTGCCTCCGCCTAGGGAAGATGCTCCCGATTTCGGGGATGGAGGTAATGTTTGGGCCCCCAGGCGCCGATATATCACCACCAGCACCAACTTCCACGATCACCTCCCCCCGATGGATGCACCCCCCTGTGTTGGTGCTGTTGCTAGTATACAGGCCCCCCCACACAATATCGATTCCGGCCGGGTCAATATGTTTATCCGATGTTCTGAAGGTCCGATGCAGCCCGATGCTCGCATTTTTGTTATTTTGTTTGTTTGTTTGTTTTTTTTTTTTGTTGTTGTTGTTGTTGTTGTTGTGTTTTTTTTTTTTGTTCTTGTTTTGACTTCTTGGTCCTGCCGATCCGATTCGATTTCGATGCCGTGTCGCTGCAGCCCGACTCGACCCACCTGCCGATTCGGTCCGATCATCGACATTCGGTGTTGGCCAATCCTGTCCCGGCTGGCGGGAGATTCTGCTCGGCAGCCTGCGCTGCCCGAGAGGTAGGCAGCGGCGCTGCGGCCGCCTCGCTCTCTCGGCCGGCCGGCTGCCCTCGCGCGCAGGCAGGACTCGCGCGCGCTCGGAGGGCGGAGGCTCACCATCATCATCATCAGCATCACCACCATCAGCATCAGCGTCATCATCATCATCATCATCATCATCATCATCATCATCATCATCATCATCATCACAATCACCATCACCATCGTCACCATCATCATCATCATCTTCATCATCAGTATCTCCATCACCACCATCGCCACCGTCAGCATCATCATCATCATCATCATCATCATCATCATCATCATCATCATCATCATCATCATCATCATCATCATCATCATCTCCATCATCATCATCATCATCATCATCACCATCATCATTATCATCATTATCATTATTCACATCATCCTCACCATCTTCATGTTCATCATCATCATCACCATCATCATCATCATATCATCTTCATCATCATCATCATCACCATCATCATCATCTCCATCATCATCATCATCATCATCATCATCATCATCATCATCTTCATCTTCATCTTCATCTTCATCTTCATCTTCATCTCCATCTTCATCTTCATCTTCATCTTCACCATCATCATCATCATCATCATCATCATCATCATCATCATCATCATCATCATCATCATCATCATTCGTCATCATCTCCATCATCATCGGCGCTGATGGCGGGGCGAGAGGTCGTAGGATCGGGGTCGTCCCTCGAGGTCCAGGTGGAGAGCCCTGTAGCACCTGAGGCCTGTGGAGGCCCCTCGAAGCACCTGCAGTCCACGGGGGCCCGTGCAAAGGCTTTTCGGATGTCCCGATAAGCCTAGAGCCCAGAGCCTAGAGTATAGAACCTCGAGACTAGCTGAGGGAGGAGGAGTGGGGGGATTGGGACGAAGAAAAAAGGCGCTGCATGGAGGAGAAAAGTATACGGCGAGAGAACAGGTCTGCCGAAAACAAAGAGGAAGGCGAAAGGGGCAGTGTGGGCTGCCCATGCACTCGGACATATCAAAGCTGCTCAAGTACAGCTGTCAGAAGAAGGAGGCCCAACTTAAACATCCCGCACGGTAAGAAACAATATCGCCATCGAGAAGCCAAAGGAGATGGCAAAGGCGCTGCTGGATGGTATTAAGTTGACTGGAGGAGTATTGGCAGCCTTCAGCAGAATAGGAGCGGGAATGATGGATGTCCTTCGCCGTGCAGAAGAATATGGCATCCTGCTCGTAAAGTGCATGGCCATGAGCGTGAATGACGAAGAGGCGCTGCAGGTGGCAAAACAATTTGTGGACGAGAAAGAAAGAGAGATGCACGAGATGGGCGGCTGCAAGACGACGAAGGAAACGGGCAAGCAGCAGCCATAGTATCTCAAGGCGCTGGGCTTCGTGGACAAGTGGGGCGACACTGTTCAACGTGTGCAGGAGGGGCACTGGTTGGGACGATAAGAGGGGAGGAGTCTGCTCATGCGGGCTCGCCTTCCCGAACACGCTGTGGCGGAGAGGCCCCAGTCTCCACTCGAGGAGCGACGAATGGCAGTTCTGGTGCAAGGTGGACTGGTTGCAGCTTGTGAAGGCGCAGCAGAACCGCCCAAAGGACGTGCTCTTGGCGGAATGGGTGAAAAAGACCAAAAATACGTTCGGACCAGACTGCGAAAAATGGCCAAAGATAGGCTGCGGGTGCAGGTTTTTCCCCTTCAGGAGCGTGCCGTCGATGGTGGTGGGGCTCGAAGTGGGAACCGCATGGCAAGCGGTCGTTGCGGAAAGCACCTTGACGACGCCATCAAGGAGCGCCATGGCGAGTTCTTTGACGCGGCCAAGGAGATGAGCCCAGAGGAGCCATTCGATGTGCTCCCACTGTCCTGCCCGATGGCGCACGGGATCGAAGACTGCGACCTCGTCGCAAGGTACCCAGTGGACTAATGGGAAAGGTCAGGGAAGAGGGCCTTCACAGTGCAGAGGTGGTGCGAACTAGCGCAGAAGATGCCGAATAACGACGGAGAGAACCTCCGCGAGGTAATGGACATTGCCATCAGAGAAAGGGGGAACGAGGACATGTGGACCCAGAGGAAGTGAAGGGGCTGAAGGAACGCCAGAAGCTAAAATACAGCACCCAGACCGTGCTGGATGGCACCGGGATCTTCTCGGGGAAGTTAGTCTACCCCGAGTCGGAGGAGACGGCGGCGGCCAGCTCGAGCGGCCACCAGTGAGCGCGCCAGCTGGAGCCTTCAGATTGCCAAGAGGAAGCATTCGCGAGGTTTTTTGGAGTGCAATTCGTGACAGACAATATGGGCACAACAGTGCGCCTGCACCGCCATCGCAATGGGACATATTTGTTGGAGTGCCATCGGGTACACAACTGCAGGGGGTGGAAGAAGTGATCATCAAGATGCCCGCCAGTGTGCTCATCATTGGCCCTACCTATGACCGTGACCTCCAGTATGTTCTACTTCACACACTCCGAAGGGGGAACCTTGGGCTACCTCGCAGGGTACCAGAGCAACGATGGCACAACGCATGGGGCATCTCTCGGAACGGCCAAGAACTGAGCTGAGTGGGAGACAAGAGCACGGAATTCAAACTGTAGAGATAGGAGCCCCCCCGGCAACAGTTTGGGGTCTCGGGCCTTCCATCTCTTTCCCTCTCTCCTCCTCTTGAGGTCGTGTCGTCATCTCCTCCCCCCTGGCCTGGGCGCCCTGCAAAACCCGCGCGCCCCCCCCCCCCTTGGGCACGCGGAAGGGCCGGCAGTTGCTCCCCCCGCCCTGACCCGATGGGACTCGTGATGTGAGGTAGCGGGCCTTTCTTCCGGGGCCACTTCCGAGCTCGGTCCTTGAGCTACGGGGTATGCCCCCCTGCCGGCCCTAGTGAGAAATCAGGGCTGTAGCACAGCAGCTCGCAGGGGATTTTGGCAATAGCGCGTAGATCACCCGAGTAAGTGCTCTGACGTTACCACCTTTATGCGGATGTCCTTGTCCTTGTCCTCCCCCCCCTCCCCTTGCTCGTCGTCCTACAAAGTGAGAGTGACCAATGTCCATCGCCCCCTCCTCCTACTCCTCTTTTCCCTCCTCTCCCTCCTCCTTCTCCTCGTAGTCGTCGTCGTCGTCATCCTCTTTCTCCTCCTTCGCCACCTCCTCCTCCTCCCTGTCCTCCTCCTCCCCCTCCCCCTCCTCCCCCTCCTCCTTCCCCTTCTTCTGCTCCTCCTCCTCCTCCTCCTCCTCCTCCTCCTCCTCCTCCCTCCCGTGGGGCAGTCGTGGGGGTCTTTTGGGGCCCCCCTTGGGTCGCCTTCTAGTAGTTTTTTTGGGGGGCCGTCATCGGACCTTCTTGTGCCGTCTGGGGGCGTTCGTGGGCCGAGCTGGGGCCTTTTTTGGGGTTCGGAATGGGCTCTCAGTGTGCCCCGCTGGTTTGGGTGACCCCAAAAGGGGTCCAGCTGCAAAGGGGGTGGTGCAATAGATTGGGGGGCGATTGAATCGCAAATGTATTGCGCCGGATCGTTTTATTGAATTGTTTTGCAGCTAATGCGTTGTTCGCGAACATCCAGCAGTACATTTGCGCCCGGGAATGTATTTTGCACGCCCCGAATGTGTTGCAACCCCACAAATCTATTGCAGCAGATCTATTGCACCACCCCCTTGTCGATGGACCTCCTTTTGGGTCAACCCGAGTTGGGCCCTCGAAAACCGCAAACGGACCAATCTTCGACCGAAGGGCGGTGAAAGCAGCGTTGATCGTATAACCTGCGAACAGTCAGCGGTTCTGGACTCTCGAGGGCCTTCTGGGGAGCCTCCTCAGGGTGTCTTGGGGCCTCCTGGGCGCTTCTCAGGCTCGCGGGTCGTTCCTGTTAGCAATGATCGGCAGTCTTGGCGGCGCTTTCGGCATTCGTGGGCAGCCTGGAATGCCTCGGAAGGCTCAGGGGGGGCCCTCAGGAGGCGTGGGGCCGCCCAGGGAACCTCGGGAGAGGGGGGCCGATGCGCGCGAGGAAGGCTGCGACCAAGGCGAGGGGAATCCTCGAAAGGGGCCACGCTAGGGGTGACATTATGGTGTTGCCCCAAGCAGACGTTGGGGGAGACGGTCGGGAAAACGTTTCAAAGGGCAGCCTCCCCCCGACAGTCGAGGCGCTGAGGAAGGAACTTTTTTTGCGTCGGGGAAGGGCCCCGTGCTCCTTCATCGTCTCATAGTTTGCCTTTGGTTTTTTTGAGGTCTTCGATGGGCAATCATGTTTATTTTATTGAACACAAGGGCCTCGTTCCTCCTTTTCTGTCTCCTTCTCCTCCTCCCTCCTCCTCCCTTCCTCCTCCTCCCTCCTCCTCCTCCTCCTCCTCCTCCTCCTCCTCCTCCTCCTCCTCCTCCTCCTCCTCCTCCCCCCCCTCCTCCTCCTCCTCCTCCTCCTCCTCCTCCTCCTCCTCCTCCTCCTTCCCCAGGTCAAAGCTCCGACTGTAACGTTGCCCCTTGACCATGGTTGCCCCACTGCCAGGGGCAACGTGAGGGGGAGCCCAGCTCGGGAGGAAACGCAGCGACCCCCCCAGTTGCGCGTTCCTCGCCGATCGGGGCTCCACATTCCACCTCTCGAGGAGGAAGAGGAGGAGGAGGAGGAGGAGGAGGAGGAGGAGGGGGGACCGATGATGATGGTGATGATGCTGCTGCTGATGATTATGATGATGATGATTATGCTGATGATGATGCTGATGGTGATGATGATGATGCTGTGGCGGTGGTGATGCTGATGATGATGATTCTGATGGTGGTGGTGATGATGATGCTGCTGCTGGTGTTGTGGATGATGATGCTGATGATGATGCTGCTGATTATGCTGATGCCGATGATGATGCTGATGAAGATGAAGATGAAGATGAAGCTGATGATGATGATGATGATGATGCTGATGGTGATGATGATTATGATACTGATGCTAATGATGATGCTGCTGATGATGATGATGATGGTGATGATGATTATGATGTGGCGGTGGTGATGATGATGATGATGATGCTGCTGATGATGCTGCTGCTGATGCTGCTGCTGCTGATGAGGATTATAATCAGTATGGTGGTGGTGATGATGATGATGCTCATGATGATGATGTTGATGATGATGATGATGATGCTGATGATGATGATGATGATGGTGCTGGTGATGGTGATGGTGATGATGATGATGATGATGCTGATGATGATGATGATGATGATGATGATGACGATGCTGCTGCTGCTGATGATGATGCTGCTGCTGATGATGATGCTCATGCTGATGCTGATGCTGATGATGCTGATGCTGATGCTGATGCTGATGATGCTGATGATGATGATGATGATGATGATGATGATGATGATGTTGATGCTGATGATGATGATGGTGCTGATTATGATGATGATGATGATGATGATGATGATGATGAGATGATGATGTGATTATGATGATGATGATGATGATGATGATGATGATGAGATGATGATGATGATGATGATGATGATGATGATGATGATGATGATGATGATGAATGATGATGGATGATGATGATGATGATATGATGATGATGATGATGATGATGATGATGATGATGATGATGATGATGATGATGATGATGATGATGATGATGATGATGATGATGATGATGATGATGATGATGATGATGATGATGATGATGATGATGATGATGATGATGATGATGATGATGATGATGATGATGATGATGATGATGATGATGATGATGGAGGAGGAGGAGGAGGGAGGAGGAGGAGGAGGAGGAGGAGGAGGAGGAGGCCTTCGTGCTTCCCCCTCCGTGTGTCGCTGCGACATACAGAGCGGAACCCGCAGGCGGATCGAGCATTTCCTGCAGTTCGTCTGGACCAGCCGCTTCCAGCGCATTGCGCTGGTCGGCCACTCGTTATGGTGGACCTTTTTTTTCCAGGAGGTGGAGGAGCGAGTCTGGCGCTGGCCAGACGTGGTCAAGAAAGAAGGGAGCCGCGTGCGGAGGAGCGTGGAGGCAGGGTGATACGTCATGCGGGGAAGGTGCATTTTATGCTCGGGTCCCGAGGGTACGTACACAGCCGAGATCGGTATGTGCCGCCTCCTCGCCCTCCTCCTCCCTCCTCCTCCTCCTCCTCCTCCTCCTCCTCCTACCTCCTCCTCCTCCTCCTCCTCCTCCTCCTCCCTCCCTCCCCTCCTCCTCCCTCCCTCCTCCCCTCCTCCTCCTCCTCCTCCTCCTCCTCCTCCTCCTCTCCTCCTCCTCCTCCTCCTCCTCCTCCTCCTCCTCCTCCTCCTCCTCCTCCTCCTCCTCCTCCTCCTCCTCCTCCTCCTCCTCCCCCCTCTTCTTGGAAGGTGCGGCACGTGGGCGGGAGTTTTTGCGCGCGTGAAGCCCAGCATCGGGGCCCGTGCCGCAGGGGGGCGCACGCGCAGGAGAGCAGGGCGGCCCCGTGGAGCCTGCAGGGCTGGGGTCGCCCGCGCCGTGCGGTCGTGCAGGCCGGCCGTGGCCTCGCGCAGGCGGGGTGGCCTCGCGCTGGGTGCGCGTCGACGCGTGCAAAGGAGGGCCCCCGCAGGGACCTCTTAGGGGCTCTCCTCCTCCTCCTCCTCCTCCTCCTCCTCCTCCTCCTCCTCCTCCTCCTCCTCCTCCTCTCCCTCTTCCTCCTCCTCTCCCTCTTCGTCGTCCTCCTCCTCCTCCTCCTCCTCCGCCTCCTCCTCCTCCTCCTCCGTGCGTGCGGTGCGCCTGCGGCCTGCTCGACAGAGGGTGTTCAGGGGCAACGCTACCGTGGAGGCTCATGCCAAGAAACACCCTGATCGCCTCCAGGGTGCCCTGGGTTTGTTGGGCTTCGATGGCTCTGCCACGGGAAGCGTGATGATCCCGCACCAGGAATGAATGGACGTCCTGGGGTCTCAGGGTTGGATTTCTTGTGGAATGTTTCTTGTGGACGAGCCCCCACCATATGTGCGCAACAGTGGAGCGGAGGGCGGGTGAGGGGCGGGGAACGACCTCGCACGGCGGTTAATCCCAGTGAGTGGCGCAGCACAACGGGGTCATCTCCACCGAGCTTGGCGCGTAGTCGTCCTGGGCAAGGTCGCGCGTAAGCGCCATCGTGTCCGATGCAGCGTGCCGCGCCGGCGGCCCGCGCAAGCCACCGCGCAAGTTCGCTGTGCCATCTCGCGACAGGAGAGTTGTTTCGTCGCTCAGATGTGCTGGCGGACTTCAACTTCGCGTTAAGTCGGGCCTGTCCCTCTACAGGAGAAATATTCAATAATAGTCAAAACAAGTTAAGGGACGATCTTTGGAGTATTTTTTGAGCATTTTGGGAATACCGTTTTGAGCATGTGAAAGTTTCGCCCACAATCCGCCTGTAGGGGGACATGCCCGACCTTAACTTAGCGACGGAAGACAAAGCTGGAGATTGATAGACCTCCTACCCTGACACGTCGATTCAGGAATTGGCCGCTTTCCGTTCGCGAGAGGGCGCCGCGGCCGTCCTTTCTGCGGGTCCGGGTCCGTCGGTTTCGGCCCCAGGCCGTTTTCACTAAGGGGAGGTTTCCTAAAGGGAGGTCTGTCCACCGCCGACAAAAGGGGTCCTCCGCGCCGGCGCTCGCGCGCAGCCCTCCCGCGTGGGGTCGCGCGCGGGCGCCCCTTCTCTCGGCGCGAGTTTTTTGTTTTCCTGCGCCAGCGGCCCGGCTGCAGCCGCGGCTCGCGGTCGCCGTGTCTGCTCTCGGGAGGCGTCGCCCCGACGTACTTCTATATTGTGTGTGCGTCGCCCCCCTTCAGGGGCGACGCGCGCACCGAGGAATCTAACAGCATATGCGCCGCGGCGGGCGCCTTCTGGCCACACCGCTCGGGAAACGATACAGTCGGGGCGCTGAAGAAGGAACCCTTTTCGTTGGGGAGGGGCTCCGTGTTCCTTCATTGTTTTACAGCTTGCCTGAGGGTTTTCTTAGGCTTTCGATGGGAAATCAACTTGTAACGTGTGGAAAAGATGGGCCCCGTTCCTTATTTAGGGTTCCTTAGGTCAACGCCCCGACTGTATACTACAGGATGGGTGTACTGTGTGTTCGGGTCGGACGCGCGCCTCCGAGGCGGACGTACAGTATCAGTACGTCTCTGCGCGTCCCAACGAGGGCCCGCTGCTTCCTCGTCGCTGGAGATGGCCCGCTGCCCTGCCGTCTTCCACGGCGCGCCAGCTCGGGCCTCGCGGGCCCAGAGCTGTGGAGGACGATCAGTGGAGAGGAAGCATGCCGCCAAATAATTTCCAGATGTCTAGAACATGTGTTGAACATGTTTATTCAAACATGTAAAAACATATTTAAACATGCTTTGAACATTTTCCGACATTTTGAACACATGTTATATTCAATGATAGGACTGTCAGGGTGTCCATTGTCGTGGCATCCACAAGCCTAGAGGTCGACACCGGCACCAACATCGGCGGTGTGCCTCCACCGAAGCAGGAAGATCCCGATTTCGGTGACGGTGGTCATATTCTGGCTTCCAAGGTGACCGAGGTATGAGCACCAATACCGAAATCTAGGATCGTCTTCCCCCTGTGGAGGCAACCAGGCAACCCCCTGTGTTGGTGCTGGTACCCATGTCCAGGCCTCCGAAGAACCCCGGTGATGCTGCGCGTGCGGAGAGGACGACAGGCGCCAGCTTGTCGGGGAAGTGTCTGCCAGATCTGGCGAAGCAGCTGGGGCAGCCGAATGCGCCCGCGCCCCGATGGTGGATGCTGGTGCTCGGGCGCTGAGAGACGGAGAGGCGGCATTGCGAATGTCGTTTCTGCCATGGCTCCAGGTTCCGTGCGCTCATCGACATCGCCGCCGACGCTAAGGAGTCGGCGAAGCTGGCAAACGCGTCGGTGTGGCAGCTCACGCTGTCGCCTCCAGAGGATGGGAGGGTGCTTGCTGCTCGCTTCAGGGAGAGTGGTGGTGCTCTCTCGATGCGGTTGGGTTGGTTAGGCTGTCTCGAAGACGAAGTATATCATCATACAGATAAGCTGATTCGACAAACTTCACATGAAGGAGCTTTAAGTTCGGATCACCTTCAAGTAGTCGGAGGTGTTCTTCGAACGGGAAAGTTTGCCCCCCCCCCGTGACCCCCGGGGACTCGCTAGCCCCCTCCCCCTGGCAGGGAAGGGATACAGTGAAGGTGAGCCCGATTTCATTACGACGTTCCTTTCCCTCGTTTCTCAATTTTTGTTCGGTTGACGACGACGACGGAAAAGCGTCTCACACACGCCGAAGGGCCCTTCCTCCTGCTCTCCCTCATCCTTGGTGCTCCTTCTCCCCCTCCTCGTTCTTCTCGTCTTCCTTGTTAGGGGGCGAATCCTGTCCAAATCGGGTCTAACTCTGGTCCCACGTGTGTGTGTGTGTGTGTGTGTGTGTTCAAATCCTGTCCCAACACTGGCTTCAGTCCAGCTTATTTGTTCCCAAACCAGCAGGATCCCATGAAACGGACATCAAGTCGTCAAGCCGTCGTCGCCATCGTGCTCCTGATCTCCCATCGGAGGCAACGACAGGGGGGGATAGGCATGGGGGGGGAAGCAGCCACCTCCAATCGCCCATTGATCGCCTGTAGGGGCCCGAGAGCTCCAACCTGCCCAGGCAGGTGCGGACTCACTATCGGAGGCCTGTCGCCGATCCATCTGCGATGCATCGCCGATTCCAGGTCAAAGCATCCCCCCCCCCTATGCCACTTCGCCCCCTAACGTTGCCCCTCGTCGCTGGGGTTTCCCGGGTCCTCCCGGATGGGGAGGCGGCCGGCGCCGTGCCCAAGATTGCCCGGTGGAGCATGCTGTTCGCCCCGGCGGGGAAGCTGCCCGGCAAGGAGGCGCGGGGGCCGCGTCCTGAGAGGAAGATGGTGGGAGGCAGGAGGGGGCCATGTGAGCAAGGAGGAGGAGGAGGAGGAGGAGGAGGAGGAGGAGGAGGAGGAGGAGGAGGACCAGTGTAAACCCAAGGGTCATCAACGATGGTGGAATTGACCCTCCCTCCAAGCTCCCTCTTCATACGCCCCTCTACACCGGTTCATTTCCATCGAGGGAACTGCCTCGTTGGAAGACAGCCGTTTGAAGACCTTGAAGCATGCCAACACAGTTTTTCGGGACATCCACGCCACGGATTAACCTGACTGCTGCGTCCTGACGATCTGGAATCGTACCCGAACGCCATTTTTGGGACTTCAACACCGCGAGTCAACATAACTGTTGCACCCGCGTAATCCAGAATCCTTCCAAAACGCCGTTTCTGTCACGTTGATCATGGGAATCCGTGAAACTCTTGCAGGTTTTCAAAACGAATGTGCGCGGCGCTAAGGCGAGAGCCACATTTTGAAAATGAGCCGCCTTCAATCCGCGGAACCCTTGCAATTAAAAAAAAAACGAATCTGCGCGGCGCTAGGATTGAAGCCACATTTTGAAAACCAACCGCCCCCAATCAGTGGAACTTTTTTTTTAACGAGTGTGCGCGGCGCTGAGGCGAGAGCCACATGTTGAAAACCACGCGCCCCCAAGCCGCGAAACTCTTGCAATTTTTTATAACCAGTGTGCGCGGCGCTAGGGTTAGAGCCACATTTTGAAAACCACCCGCCCCCAATCCGTGAAACTCTTACACTTTTTTAGAACGAGTGTGCGCGGCGCTAAGGCGAGAGCCACATGTTGGAAACCACCCGCCCTCAATCCGTGAAGCTCTCGCAGATTTGTAAAACGAAAGTGCGCGGCGCTAGGGTTAGAGCCACATTTTGAAAACCACCCGCCCCCAATCCTCGAAATTCTTGCAATTTTTCTAAACGAATGTGCGCGGCGCGACGGCAAAAGCCGCATTTTGAAGACCACCCGCCCTCCATCTGTGAAACTGTTGCTTTTTTTGAGCTTCAGAGTCGTAAGTGGTGAGGAAGTTTCCGGCGAAACGCCCGGCCCGCCCTAAAAACTGGCCTCGTCGTTTCCAGTGCAGCGTGCCGCGCCGGCCGCCGGCGGCCCGCGTAAGCCACCGCGTAGGGTCGCCACGCCATCGCGCGAAGGGCAGGTTTTTGTCCGTCGCTCCGATGTTGGGAGGCACGGGGAGGTAATTTGTTCGACCCCTGGCGATGACGGGCGAGACTGGGGGGGGTGGGCAAGGGGAGGGGGAGGGGTCTGGCGCTACGGTTCGCGCGGGCGCCGTCTGGGAATGCCCAGGAAAAGCGAAGACCCAGACGACGCTGGCACGAATTGCCCAGACCACGAACGCCCATTCGTCACAATTCGCGCCGGCATCGTCTGGCCCTTTGTCGTTCCCAGGCGTTCCCAGACGGCGCCCGCGCGAGGTGTAGCGCCGGACCCCTCCCCCTCCCCTTTCCCCCCAGTCTGGCCCGTGGGGACGAACAACTTGCTTCCTCCTGCCTCCCACTATCTGAGCGACGAGCAAAGACTTGCCCTTCGCGAGATGGCATGGCGACCCTACGCGGTGGCTTAGGGGGGGCGGGCGCGAGTGGGGCCTGCATTTCAGTCGGGCCTGTCCCTCTACAGGTGGAATATCAAAAAATAGTGAAAAGATAGTCGGGGGACGACTTTTGGAGTATTTTTTGATCATCCTTGAATATTTTTTTGAATTTTTTTCGAAAATCCCCCTGTAGGGGGACAGGCCCGACTTAAGCCTGCGTGCTGAAGTCGCCCCCTCCGCCCCGGACCTGGTCCGTGCCTCAAGAGCCCTCGCCCTGTGCGGCCGCGGCCGGCATGCGGTCGGTTTCGTCTGGGGCGCAGGCCTGCCTTGGCCGCCTCGGCTGGTGCACGTGGGTGATTGTCCGGATTCAAGAGTGGGGCTCCTCCTCCTCGTCCTCCTCCTCCTCCTCCTCGTCCTCCTCCTCCTTCTCCTCTTCCCTCCTCCTCCTCCTCCCCCTCCTCCTCCTGAGGCTCGTTTTCGTCGTCTCTGCCGTCGTGCTCACGGCTGAGAAGATCAAGCAAGTGAAATCCAAGCGAAATCCCTCTTCCGCCTTCTCCGCCTTCTTCCTCCTCCTCCTCCTTCTCCTCCTCCTCCTCCTCCTCCCTCCTCCTTGGCTCAACAAGGCTTGGCTCAAGACAGCGAAGCAGCAATGATCATGCAGAATCCTCTGGAAGTTGGCCTTCCTTGTGGCGCCGGCGAGTGCTGGCGACATCGTGAATTTGTGAAAGCACATCGCGATCGAATACAAGAAAGCGCTTTTCAACTCGGAGGAGCTGAAGCAGCATATCGACCTCCTGCCATCGCAAGAAACACTTCTTACGATGCCTCCTCACTTGCATCGCCAGTCCAGTGTTCGAGTTTAACCTCAAGTGGGAAATGTTGGAGCAGCGAGTGCCTTCGGTAGCATATCTGTTGCAGCATTCAGCTTGCTTTCAATCGACCACTTCAAGGAGGTGGCACCCAGGATTTCAAGATAAGCCACGTGCAGTGCACCACTATCCGCAGCATGGCGTACGGCAGCCGTTTGTGTCGCAGCTTTGGGAACACGTGCGTGGTAACACGTCGCGTGCTTGGGCTTCCGAAGTAGAGAGGACGGCCTATGAGGCACACGGGATGGCCGAAGTAGATTGATCATCGATAAAGCAACTCGTCCAATAAGGTTTTAGGTTTTTTTTCCACAAGTGCTCACGCGGTCGCCATATGATGTATAATATTAGCCAGTGTCGGCGGCAACTTTTGGGGCGAATGCATTTCAATGTTCGCGAATCCATTGCAGAATAGGTAGAACTTGCTGCAGATATGGTCACGATTGTCTGCGTTGTGTCGGGCTGACGCCCAGACGTCCGAACGACGACAGGAATGGGTTGCTGGAAGAGCATTTTATTTTCCAGCTGCCCACGGCAAGTCCCGCCACCGTGCTTGGGTTGTGGGTGTATCAGCCTAGTGGATGCTCGTCGGGATCTCGTGGGAGGCCTCTCGGGGGCCTCTTGGAGGAGGCAGTTTGGTGACCTCTTGGGGGCCATTTTTGGCCTCTTGGGGGCTTTTGGGGGGCCTCTCGGGGACCTCTCGTGGGCCTCTTGCGGCCTGTTTGGCGTCTCTTGGGTCGTACTGGGCGCCTCTTGGGCCGTCTTGGGGCGCTCTTAGACTGTCTTGGGGCCCTCTTGGAGGCCTCTTGGGCTGTCTTGGGGGCCTCTTGGGCTGTCTTGGAGTGTCGGAAAGCCGAGAGAGCGAGAACGCCCAAATCCTTCAAAGACGGAAAGAAACGACTGATTTGTGTTCTTTTGGGGCCCTCTCGGGAGGCCCGTCGGAGGCCTCCTGGGGCGCCCTGGAAGCCTGCTGCGCCATCTCGAGGCCATCTTGGGTGCCTTCGAGCGATCGTTCGGCGATTCGGGGCCCTCTCGGACTGTCTTGGGGGCCTCCTGGACCGTCATGGAAGCCTTGGAGAGCCCCAGGGAGGCGCCACGGCCGCCCAGGGACTCCCAGGGAGTATGGCCGGTGCGCGCGACGAGGTGCGGCCCAGAGGGGGGTCCCTTGGGAGATTACAGCAAACTTGCCGGACAGCTCCTGGCATTCTACCACGCCATAAACGTGCCAGGGGGCACGGTGGCGGATACGCTTACCCAAGACATACCAACTCACGCGCAGCAGCTCTATTCTCCGTGGTTGCCGAGCAGACATAGTGTTTGGACGATTCGGGCGTCATTGGATGTCACCTCCCGGCATTTCAATGGTTACTTTATTGTGTGAGGGCCCCGGCTCGCCCACGCTGCTTCTGAAGGGCCCGCTGGCCGGCCGGCCGGCGGACTCGGCGCGCTCTGGTCCGCATTCCCCATCCTCCTCCCTCCTCCTCCTCCTCCTCCTCCTCCTCCTCCTCCCCCTCCTCCTCCTCCTCCTCCTCCTCCTCCTCCTCCTCCTCCTCCTCCTCCTCCTCCTCCTCCTCCTCCCTCCTCCTCCTCCTCCTCCTCCCCCTCCTCCCCCTCGTCCACCTCCTCCCTACTTCCTCGTGGCCCAACGGTGTCATGGCGTCAGGCGAGCCATTGGCGAGGGTTGTCGCGACTCGTGGGATGGCGGGAGGGCCAGCCATGTCCCCAAGCGGTCCAGGCGAGGCGGTGTCTCATGTGGCATTGAAGCCCCTCGGGTTCTCTGGCCCGCGCCTCACATGAACTCAGCTCCCTTGTGCCCGGCTGCGTGGCCTGAGCTGTGGCCTTCTGCTGTGGCGTCAGTCGAGCGGAGTGTCAGTGCCATGCGGCAGGTAAGTCCTGTGGGGCTTCGTGCCCACTCTCGGGCGGGGCTTGCCGGGTTCGAGCAGCTCACCGGGTGCCCGGGTGAACCCTGTTTGCTCGATGCCCGTCGGTTGCTCCCCCGCTGGCCCTTTAGCTCGCTTGCCGAGCGTGCGGCTGGAAAACGGCCTGTTCGACCTGGCGAACTCGACTCCTCCTCCTCCTCCTCCTCCTCCTCCTCCTCCTCCTCCTCCTCCTCCTCCTCCTTAGTCGTGCTCGTCGTGGAGACCTCGCGCGCCTTCCGTGTCTTGGGGATCCCAAAGGGGTCCGAGAAGCGCACCCGTCCCATAAGCTATGGCGCACTGGTCCAATGGTTTGGTGTTTTGAATGCGCCGCCAGATGTGTGTCTAGGGCGTTTTTGATTTCCAAACCGTGTTTGGGGAGACCGCCCCTGGGGTCTGCGAGGCACTTCAAGAGAAGGTACCTCATCCAGGGGCGGGGCCCTTCTGGAGAGAAAGTCGGTAATGGTTTCAAGAGGCCTGTTCCTATTTTCGCTTGAGTCGTCCGTTGAGCGTTCGACGGGATCATGAGTATTGCTTTTTGGCCTGGTGCATCGTTCTCGGCACACCTCGTCGTCATCCAGAGTCTCCAGAGCCTCCTCCTCCTCCTCCTCCTCCTCCTCCTCCTCCTCCTCCTC